AAAAGTAAGCTTGCCATATCAAGACGTTGCAAACTTGTTTTCTTCAAGTATTTTTCCCATATGCTTCAGGCAAATGTTCGTTACTGAGGAACTGTTCCTATGTACCACACATTACACATGCTAAAAGATTTGGACTCACGAAATCGTAATGACACGACTGCAAACAAACCATACCACGGGCGGGGATAGAACCCGCGATCAGAGAGTCTCAAAACTCCAGACAGTCGCGTTAGCCACTGGACCAGCTAGCCACGTTAACGGCTTTGAGGGGACTTGAGCTAGAGTTCGTCACGGCTACGCTAGCTGGAGATTCGTCTGTAAAAACTTGTATCTGTGGTCACAGTGGTGCCTATGCTAACCTTCCTATGGTGTAGAAATATACCTAGTTGGACGAATCTAATTTTGGCTAGCTGGTCCAGTGGCTAACGCGACGGTCTGGAGTTTTGAGACTCTCTGATCGCGGGTTCTATCCCCGCCCGTTGTATGGTTTAAAAGATTTGGAATTTCGCATCACTGTACACTCAGTCAATATAAATTATGTATTCATCTCTCAGTTTTCTTACATAAATCGTCGCAATATATATGATCACCTGTGCCAGTCAGCATTTTTTTCTCTCAGAAAATATAAAGCAGTAAGCGAAAGGATATAATTTTTTTTTTTTTTTTTTGGCTTTCGTGGAACCTCAGTAAGCTGTGGACTGGTATCTGTGAAAAGTCGTTGCTCACGCCAAACACCAGCCACACTTTGTCAATATAGAGCCAGTGAAAAATTGCAACATTGCAACATTGCCACTAGAGTGCCGGAACAGACGCTTGTGACTACCTATCCCCCTCCCCTTAACAGACTACTGATATGGTCCAACAAGCGGCTTCCAGAGATCATGCACATTGGGGAAGATGAGGGTAAACCGGGCGCAGGGTACAGCATGGGCGGAGAGAAAATGCATAAAATTAGTAAACGAATATGACCTGGAGGTATCCATTACACAAAATATATCGCCAGAATTCCCCGTCAGCAGTACACCGTCAACGGTATATGAAACACTAGCAAACTTTAGAACAGCAATCTGGAACTTTAACATAGAATACTTCATATTTTATATACGACATATGTTAGACCAATTGTTCAGCACAAAGCCCCAGAGAGGAGCCCACGTCTGATCACACACTTGTAGATGCTCGAAAAAGTTTAAAGATGTGCAACCAGACTAGTACCAGCACTAAGAGGAATGCAATATGAGGGAAAGTTCACGGAACTGTGCCGGACAACCTTAGCTGAGAGGAGGATTAAAAACGGAGACTCAATTACAATAAAAAAGCCTTAAGGGGAATTGATTGATCAGACAGGGACAGATTGTTTAATTAACAGTTACCGGATTAAGTGTACACAGGAGCGACTGAGAAGTAATGAAATCTTAGGCTCGGGGTGGTCGAAAAGTGGAGGCATTTAGATGAAGAAGTAGAGATGTAGTCGATGCACAACTTCAAGAGTAGATGTTAAGATGCTAGAAATCGGTGATGCCAATCAAAGTAGTGAGAGAGACGGGGGTCGTAAGACGGATCTCGATCCAAGTGCTTACAAACAGGTGAATACACAAACATACACACACATATGGGAACATACTCCAGTGGATCAGAGTACCTTAGGGAAAGGAAGCAGAGTGATCGTCCGGAGGGAGATGTAAGAATGAGGATGAGTAAAGAGCGTGGTTCTGCAAGGATCGGTATTAGGACCAGCACTGTTTCTGGCTTACGTGAATAACGTAACAGATGTTATGGAGTCAGTTGTATCTATCCCTGTTTGCTTATGATGCAAAACTAATGAGGATACAAACATACGAAGACGGGAATAGCTACTAATGTATCTTGACAAACTGCAAAATTGGTCAGATAAGTTGTTGCTTGAATTCAACCGCAACAAATGGAAGGTAATTAAAATCAGAGAAAGAGTCCAGAAGACCGGACACGGAATATAGATTCTGGGAACAGAGGCTGCAGATTACATATTGCCAGAGGCTCGCATCAACCGAATAATCTCTGCAGCCAATGCTCGTCCGGCAAATTTAAGAGTGGCCTTCAGGAATCTACACAAACAGGAGTACCGGGCCCTTTATACAACATGTCAGGCCCATCTTGGAATGTACAACAACGGCATGGAGCCTACACCTGAGAAAGCATGTTAAACCAGAGAACGTGCAGATGTGTGCCACAAGATAAGTTCCAGGACTATGAGAATGAGCTATGAAGAGAGGCTGGTGGAACTGAATCTAACAACTCGAGAGGACAGAAGAACCAGGGAAGGCGTAATAACGTACAAAATACCCACAGGAATTGATAAGGTAGACATGAAGAGGCTGTTTGAAATGCTGAAGGCCTTGATGAGCCACAAGGATGTCATGAAATATTTCTTCAATCCCGGACCCAGTATGGTCAGGAAGTGGAAAAACCTCGACGAAAAGGTGGTGGAGGCAAACACACTACATAGTTCTAAGAGCAGGTACGATAGAGCTCATGAGGTTAGGAGCGATTATACCTGGCAAGGGAAAAATCGAGAGACGGGGCCAGGAGCTAACGACTCTTGCGGTCACATATACTATAGGGTGATACATACAGAGGAGTACACACACTATCACAGTTACAGATAATGCATCTTGCAAATGATTGGCAGTTCGGATGCAAATTAACAAGGAGGTGCTCCGCCCATCACTTTAATTAAACCTTGTGTACAACATTCTCAATAAAGCCCTTTGTAATATACTCATAAATTTAAACTATGTAGAAAAACCAAATCTCCCCTACCATGGCCCTTAATGAGCCAACTTTAATGAACGAGCTTGCTAATATTCCCGACAATGACCCGATGATACGCCAATATGTAAGAGATCTCTCTACAAACATTATTGTAATCTTAGAAACTAATAACCTTTCACCAAGGGGCAGAGTAACGAGAGTGTAATATAAGAAGTGAATTGGACACAGCTGGAAACATGGAAGTTGATTACTGATAACATCTGATAAGATTTATGGGATTTTCATGGAAAAGTGCTAAAATTATATAGGTTATAGGATTAAGATGACAATTAAAGGTATATAATCAAGTTTGATCTAGGGAAAAAAGGTTTGGTAGCCAGAATTCCTTTGATCATGAGCCCTTCACCAGTATCTAGCACCCTGCTTGAGGAAGCGACATTTGAGGCACAGGATAGGCGATGTTATGAGACGCCGACAGAGAGAATAAGGAAACACAATACAGTTATATGCATCATTTGTTGACGTTTCTCCCACGCGGTGAGCTTTATCAATTGACAGGTAAATCTGCTATGAGAGGGAGAACTTATAAATCAAGTACAGCAGTGAGGTGAAGAACAAGTGAGGAGCGCATCAGGTATTCTGCGTAGAGGTTCAGTTAAATTGTGAAAACCGTAATTCTGGTTGAAGTTGGTGGATACTCTGATGAATGCACTTTCATTGTTTCTTCATTTGAGTGTCGTTCGTCTTTTCAATTAGTATTTGACCAGCACAGTTTATCAGGTGGATGGGGAAAATTATGGTGTATGTAACTCAAGCGTTATAGAGGTTTGTTCTGCTGGCGAAGTGATGTTCTAAAATACTCTTATGGAGGGCTCTGGATGTTTCAACTAAGACGACTTTTGTCCTAATTTTTCCATGGATGGTGTGCATGTTTGCAGAAGTTACGTTGAAGGTGTTTCTCTCTGGTGATGCAATTGATAGCGGAGGCGATGGTGGCTATGCTGAGTTTGCTGTTGGAGAAGAACTACGTGTATTTGGCAGCATAATTGTTGGAAAGAACTTCGTATCTGTCTTCGATGGTGTCTGGTCTTGCTATGGCAAGTCGTCTGTAGTGCCAATGAAATATCAGGGTAGTGTAGTTTGGCGAAAAATTGTGCAAGGAAGAGCATTCCTCTCCAAGAAATTCACTACCGCAGATGCGGAAAGCTCTTAGGAGAAAACCCATGAGAATACATCTTTACTCGTGATGTCGTGGTTGAATGGAAGTGGAGAAGATCACGTTGGTTGCTTGGTGGGTTTCTGATAAACCTTGAAACGAAGTTCGTTGCAAGATTTGCAGCGTAAAACTTCCAGGAAAAGAAGTATCACTGATTTCCTCTTCAGCGCAAACTGCATCGGTTCAGTAGCCTCAACGAAGTCGAGCCCTCAATACAATTTACACTTGAGGATGCACTCCCTATGAATAAAAGGATAATTTCTGTAATCTTTCGAAAATACTTGAAGTTGGACTACGTTGGATCGAGTTAAAGTACAATAGGTTAAGTTACATTAACCTATAGAGTCGTCTGGCAAGGTATTGGATCAGCAGAACTAGAAAACGTTCAAATTTGCATGCCTGTCACTTCTGGTGTGGGACTTTTCGCCCACGCAGGCGCCTCTCATGACCGGTAAATCAATATTATTATTAGCGGCTATTTTGATAAATTAGCAAAAATGGCGGTTGTCAATTTTGGGCCAATTGTAAATTGTTAAAAAATATATATTAATTTGTGATTAATAACCCGCTGAGATAAATTTATTTATCGAGAACTCCATTAATTTAGATAAAAGTGGAAGACTTGGAAGACAGGGAAATAGCGATAGAGAGGAAGAGTGGTAGGGAGAGGAAAGTAAAGGACAGATGGGGAATGGAATAAGGTGCTAGACTATAGAACTCTCTCTCAGTAATGTCCAGTTCCAGTAGGTGAATATATAGTAATTTATTTAATATACTGAAGCGTGATATTTATCCTCTACCCCCATGAACCGTTATCATTCCTTGGTTCATGTCTATGTCCGGCCATAACAGTATCATTAATTAAATTGTCTCTGGCTGTGTATTTATTTTATTTAATAGTAATCAATATTCAGCACATTTTTGAGAACAGGGTGAATTATGAGATAGAAGTGTGTAAGTTTACATGATTTCCCTAATGTCATGTGTCAGGTCAGTCAAGAAGTGTGACTGCTGATGGGGGATTTTTTTTCAGAAACGTGCAGCCAGAGTGAAGGTTGTGAGGTCTGCTGCTTCTTATTGTACAGTTGTCTTCCGGCTGCCTATGAAGTTAGTGTAGGTGAGAACTGAATTATCAAGTAATTATAAATATATAATGTTGGTTCATTAGTATGTAGTGATGATACATCAACTGGAGAATGAAACAATGGAGACAACAATTGAAAGGATTTGTATATTTCGACTTCCCACTGAAATCATGTTTTTCAGATATAAGAGAATGGGGAAAAAAGGACTATAGTTTGAGGTTACATGAAGAGCTGTAATGGAGTTGTGTCGTTTGGGAAAGTTTGACATGAGTCATGGTAGGTTTAAATTAGATCATAGGGGTATTACTAAGATTTCAGGATAGAGATCGTGTAGTTCCAGGAATGTCTGGTCTGATGAAAATCATAATTTGCTTTGCTGGGATATATGATCAATGTAAATTTAGTGATCATGTCTGGTTTCGAATGACCTTGTGAAAATTGGTATAGAGTCGATATTGGCTGCTAATACGTTTTTCTTTTTTTGTAGAAATCATTAACACACACATCCCACACATAGGAGAAAAAAACTTATGACGTTCCGGTCTGACTTGGACTATTAACTAGTCCTAGATATTTGTGTATTGTCCCAGTCACGGTATTTTTTCCTTTTAATTAATTTACTTTGATTCAGTTTTGCCTTTTCCCAATTTATGGTATGATTCAAAGTTTTCATGTGTTGGAATTTTGCCATATTCTCTTGTCTATCTTACATGGCCATGAAATATTAAGAAAAACATAGGAAAGAAGAGACTTGATTATCGTCTTACGTGTTCACGAACAGGGAAAAAAAGACCACAGATTTATGGACTCAATTCTTTATATCCTCAGCATTTCAGAAAATCGAGAAACCTGAATAATAAATTCACATACCAGAGTGATATTTCAATTGAGTTCCTTTCATATGAATAAACCAGTATAGATAAATAAGCGTAAATGTTGTAAAACTTCGCATAATTCAGCACAAACGTTCCAAATATAACAATCCACAAAACTATTATCCACATGGCCAATAAAGATCACACTTTGTCAAAATAAGAACTGTCAGTCACTGAGAGTTCCTCGCGTCTTCTCTGTTAAGAACCTTCAACTGAGGAGAAGAATCTCCTTATCCGGATCATTTGTGGAATCCAAATCCAGGCGGGTGACGGCGGGCAGAGGAAAGCCGATCATCTGCTGCCGCTTCCCGCGGTTGTCTTGTGGGAGGTGTTGGGTGGTGGTACCTGCGGCTATTGTCTTGTGTTAGGTGGTAGTTCATGTGGTTATTGTCTTGCCGCAGGTGTTGGATGGTGGCCCCTGCGGTTGTCTTGCGGTAGGTGTTGGGTGGTGGACCCTACGTTTAATGTCTTGCGGGAGTTGTTGGGTGGTGGCCCCTGCGGTTGTCTTGTGGGAGGTGTTGAGTGATGGCCTCCGGTATTCTCCCGGCCCGGGTCTTTTCCAAGTAGTGGTGACCCGGCCTTGGCTCCCTATCTGGGTAGTGTCTCGAGACTTAGTCTCCCATGGGAGGAGGTACAAGTACCTCCTCATCTTCGGGACCAAGTGTCCCCAGGCCTAGCCACATTCCCCGCCCTCACGGGGCTCGTAGGGAGAAGCTAGGCCTCTGGTCTGCCATCTACCCCGCCTCAAAGGGGCTCGTGGGGATGGCAGTCTTATGAGCTGCAGATGGTAGCAAGCTCAGTTATTTGTGGGAGATGTTGGGTCTTGGCTCCTGCGGTTGTCTTATGGAAGGTGTTGGGTGGTTTCCCTTCTGGTTAGTGGCTTGCCTGCGGGCAGTCAGGTGATGATCACCGCAGTTACTATCGGCGTCTGCAAGCAGGAAAATTGATCTAGAGTGACTGGTAAATTTATATTTTCTGGGGGGTTCCTTAATGCAGGTGAAAGGCTTTTGATCTTCGTAATTATAGCAGCCCTCCCCTTCCTCGGATTAAACTTAATTACCTGCCGTCCTTACTTCGTTACGCGTCTAGAACGTGAGAACCATCCTGGGTCCTTCACTCAGTGTTCCTGAGACAAGTCTCTCACTTCTCTCTCACTGCCTAGTGTAAGTTTCTCTCTCTCTATCTATCTATCTATCTATCTATCTATCTATCTCTCTGCCAAGATCTCCCCTCACTGACTCAGTCACATCCTCCTAGTCTTTCTCTCGTCTCGGTCTGCTACATACCCTGCCTCCCCTGTAACTATCCACAATTTTCCCTGCCTCCCCTGTAAATACCCACAACCTTCCCTACCTTCCCTGTAACTACCCACAACTTTCTCTGCCTCCCCTGCAGCCACCCATATCTTCCCTACCTTCCCTACAGCATCACATCTCTGACCACTATTTCTCCACCATCGACCGTAAAAGAGCCGTGTTCCCCACTGCTTCTTCCCTACCCTGCCATCCCTCCTTCCCTCCAGCCATCCCTCCTTCCCTCCAGCCATCCCTCCCCTCCAGCTGCCCTCCTGCCCACCACCTCTCACAGCGGCCAGTGAAATCAAGAACAATTTTACAGAGTGCAGTGTATTTGTCCCACAGCCTTTGTACTGCAACTGTCTCTAGGGTCCAGGGACTCTCTCTCTCTCTCTCTCTCTCTCTCTCTCTCTATGTGGGGGTTACTAATTGTCAGAGGCACTTATCGATAGACACACACACAATGTGTGCGTGTGCGTGTGTGTGGCATGTCTGCTTGGAGAAAGGTGTTATTGCCTAATTGTGCTTACCTAGTTGTGTCCACAGGAGGAGGGGTGTTCAACCCTAGCTCTAGGAACCCGCCTACGCGGTTCTCTTAAATGGTGTATGATATTCGGTATACCCCAGCAGGTGTGGTGAAAACGGTATGGTCAAAAACTTGGTTTTAATACCGGTTTTTGAAAACGGTAGCGTCACACGGTAAACACCTGAGAGGTGAATTCTCTTCATTGGTGTATAGATACAGTTTCTTTATCTCTAATTCAGATACTAAAGTTTTTTTGAACCGGTGACTGCGCTTAATTACCTTGAGTATAATCGAAGGTTTATGCCAATTAACAACCAGGTAGCGTCTAGGCAGGTATGGAATGGTACGGTGATGATGATGGTGATGGTGTGCTTGCATATAGGTGAGTATGTACGGTGTGTTGGTGTGGTATAGCTGCAATAATGGTGAGATATGGTAAGGTGTTGATGGTGGTGGCATGGTACATTGCACTGTTGGGAAGATAGGCTTTACGGTGCATGGAGATGGTGGTGGCTGGTAGCTGGCAATATAGGTGAGATATGGTACGGTGATGGATGATGGTGGTGGCTGGTAGCTTGCAATATAGGCGAGATATGGTACGGTGATGGATGATGGTGGTGGTTGGTAGCTTGCAATATTGCTGAAGTATGGCACAGAGATGGATGATGGAAGTGGCTGGTAGCTTGCAATATTGCTGAGATATGGCACAGAGTGGATGGATGGATGGTGGTGGTAGCTTGAATATTGCTGAGTTGGCACAGAGAGGTGTGAGGAAGTAGGCTGGTAGCTTGCATATGTGAGTATGACAGGATGGATGATGGAAGTGGCTGGTAGCTTGCAATATTGCTGAAGTATGGCACAGAGATGGATGATGGAAGTGGCTGGTAGCTTGCAATATTGCTGAAGTATGGCACAGAGATGGATGATGGAAGTGGCTGGTAGCTTGCAATATTGCTGAAGTATGGCACAGAGATGGATGATGGAAGTGGCTGGTAGCTTGCAATATTGCTGAGCCATAGTGCAGATGAGTGTGGTGGTTTGCTGGTCATGAAACAGAAAACTGTGTTCTCTGTTATGTCTGGTGGGAGTTCATGCCGGTCAAGAGCTCTTGATCAAAGGAAATTTGACCTACATATCCTTTTCTCAGATCAAACTTAATTACTTATCATTCCTTAGGCACTGCATGTCCCCTTCGGGTACGGCACTACCTCTGAATGTAATAAGAGTGTGAGAACGACCTGGGCGCCAGGAGTTGTTGTCACGACCCAGCCTTATGTCCGCCGGTAACTAATTACAACTTATATAATAGGGGGGGAAAACTTTCATTTTTCTTTTTAGGTCGCCCTGCCTCGGAGGGAGACGACCGGTGCGTTAAAAAAAAAAGTTATAGAGCATAGTAATAATGCTTAACTAGGCTCGTGGTTTATTAATCACTGCACTCGCTCACCGTCACGAGTAACTTGAGGGAACTACTCTCTCTCCTTGTCAACATATAATAATAATAATCTTAGCCTGGTAAATGGTTGAAACGAGACTTGAGGATCAAGGTGGAGAGGGATTATTCAAACTTTTTGGAATCATTTTTTTTTTTTACCATTTACTGAACATTTTAACTATTCCAAGATTTATCCTTACACTGCGTGCGCGTGTATGTGTTATATATACTTCTCTCATAGATTCTGCAGTGTAATTATACTGAATGTAATTTAAAATATATCACTAAGAAAAGGGGTAATATTACTGGGGTAGAAAGGGTGGAAGTGGTAAGAGAAAACTATCTGGATTCTTTTGATACTCAGAATATAATCTTCAAATCCCTTGCCAAAGTTGCACCCAATTAGAACCCTTCCTGACTATGCAGCTCTCGGACCAGTTTCTCTGCCTGCCATTTCAGATTTTATTAAATGTCACGTTGCTCCGCTTCCAGCTAAAAGTAAGTAATCAGATGCGTCCTGATACACCCATCATCAGAGATAGTATATACCAGATCAGCCCTTCTTAAATGTGAAGAAAATAAGATCAAAACCCAGATCAGCACTTCTTTATAGCAGAGGAGATAAGGCCAATAATTTAAAAACTGGACCATCCTTCATTACTTCAGTAGGTAATAAAACATAAGCATATTAACACACCATACATATTATAAATCTTATACCCACCATATTCCATCTCATCTGGATGATGGGGCCGGAGGAACATCACAACAAGCACGAGTGTTGGGTGCTGCAGGTAGATGGCAGCACCTGCTCTCAAATACGAGGAACAGAATGGAGGAAAAATATATGAACTAGGAGGAATATTTGTATTTCAGTTAAAGCTTACAAAATCCCTGTATT